TTTGCGCGCTGTGTTATATGTGGCATCCGGAGGGAGGGTTCTGCTGGCGTTCCGCAGGGCAGCCGAGGTCGACCACATCCATCGTTTGTGTTTTGAGCTTGCGGTACGGTCCGACATTGTTTTTATTGATATCTGCATAGTTTCCTTGATTTGCTTCCTGTGTTCATCGAGCATTTGGGACAGATCATTGTGGAATTTATCCTTCATTTCAGACGCACTGTAATCGGTCGGTGCATACAAAGATACGACGAATAAGCACGACGCTTCGTTCTGAAGCTGTTGACCCGTGTTGAGCCGTTGAGACGTACAGCGCATAGTCGGTTACTGATTGGAATCCAGTCAAGAAGCGAGCGCTCAGCCTTAGCACTTAGGGCAATTCCAACACCAGCAACACCGCGAGCTTCGGATACCGAATCGCCTGACGCACGGAGGGTGAAGCGTGAGGTCGATGTTGGGTTAGGAGAACGCAGGGAAATGATCGAAGTAGGGTGTTGTATGCGTGTTTCGGAGACACAACATACACCTAAATTGAAAGTTTCGAGGATTCTAGCCAAGGCAGCTTGCTGAGCACTCTGATAGAGTGTATGGACATTGAACGCGGTTAAGTTAAAAGGAAATTTTGGCTTCAAAATTCTTGTAGCTTGATTTTTTGGCCTTGATGGTAAGACGCTGAATGATTCGATGGGTGGCGTAAACAGGAGGCGTCTGGGATTATTCGGGACTAAGATGAAGAACTAGGTAGATCGGAAAGAGGTTTTTCCAAATGGGTGCCTAAGACTTTAGTCGCACTGCATACTTTGCGCCTGCCCAGTTCGAAAACTTTGTGCACTGCACTATATATATATATATATCTTGATTAGTAGGCTTCAAAACCACTTACAAAATCATCATCAGTCCGTTAGTTTGAGGTATAGTGAGCTGGTTGAATGAAAGCTCGAACAACTTTTTAGTCTGTTAGGTGAGATTTTTCAAATAATTAAACAAGTCTAAGGGTTAAAATTGTGTTCAAAGGTTGAAACAAAAATCTTTCATAAATGAGGAGAAACTCTGCGATGAATGTTAATAGTCAAGGTGAAAAGATAGTCAGCCGAATGAAGCCTTCCTCCTTTCACACTTGTAAAAATAGTTGAAATCTGTTATTTACCAAATTCATTACACTATGCATAAAGATTTCTCTAACGTAAAGATACCAAGGCAATGAACTAGCATTAAGAAGCACCAACTTAACCAGAAACCTCGGCATCTTACGTTCACACGGTAACACAAAATTTATAGACCAAACGGGAAAGTGAAAAATAATTTGTATAAAACTAAATGTGTAGACTGTCAAACGGTCAACGTGATTAGAAAACATCTGTCCTACTTTCAAACAAAATCTGTTTTGAAAAAATGGGACATTACAAACTAAGATAGAGGCCTTAAGTCCTCGAAAAAATACTCTTATTCTTCAGATAAAAAGCGACAAGTTCGGAGAATCGGCTTCAAGAGCTTATTGACGTGAACATCAAGTAGAACGCAAATATTAGGACACTCTGTACAAAACAGTAAAACGTTGAACATTTTTATTTTGTCGTTGACTACAATACTTATCATTCATAAGATTTCGAAACCAATCGGTCATGCACAAACACACTAACAGTAGGGAAAAAGTGAACTGAAACCCAAGACGCTGATTGTTTCTGTTCGATCAGCAGTGCGAATCAAACGAGTCCAGTGAGAACATATTTCGGATCTCACACAGCACAGCATGCGAGCCTACAGTGCCAGAAAAATTCCATCAGACATATTGGTCAAGTTCAAACTAACGTTAGGTTGGCAGATTTTAAAATACTCCTTTTTCTTCTTCAAAATTAGTCTTGAAAAGAAAACAGTAAAGGCTCCCAAGAGATTTAAGAGCACTGCACAGATGAACGGGATCATCGCTGAAAATAAACCTGTAGCAGCATTCTGTTTGCAGATTTAAGATAAAGGAATAATTTCAATAAGAGGTGACATCATTTCGTCACCAGAGCACATGGCGGTCTTATACTCTTCAAATTCTTTGATCAAAATTCATAAGCAGTAGTTATTGGTATGTCTTTGAGGAACAGAACATTATCAGACGTAATAGACAAAGTTGAAAAATGTCGTCCAGATGAGAGACCACATTTGTAGGGAAACAACATATTTTACTTTTTGTGCCAGATCGTCCAAACCAAACAGATACAGAAAACTAAGCCACTATTATGGTTCAAATGGTAATATTTTTAACAGAGAAGAGAAAGACGGGAACAAGAGATAATTCTGACTTACCGAGTGATATAATACTGCTTTCCTCCTCGGCTGCAATTCGAATAATACTGTCGCTTTTCTGGGAAAGCTGAGATAGAAGAGTCCTTCGGGATTCTCCAATTGGCCAGTCTGGTTCCTCCGGGGGTAGCGCCTTATCATCCATATAAGGAACATTATACACCACATCCTTGCTTCCTCGAAAGCTTGGGATCTTTGTCGGGGTTAAAGCATCGGGAAACAGGTAATCATCGTTCACAAAAACACAACCGGGTGGAGGAAGCTCAAGTGTACTCCAAGGGCGACGCTTGGCTGAGTCAGATGTTCCTCTGCGCCTAAGATCAACAGCCCCAAGATTGTCATACAAAACTGGTTGAATATGTATACCAGATGGAGTCGGGGGTAATGTTGGAGGTTCTGAGGGTTCCTCGGACTTAGATGCGGCATCATCGACGCCATGCCACGTCTTTCGACTTAGGAGATCTTTTGATTTTGCAGAGGGAACTCGAGGAATTGGCTTTCCATCTACAGAGCCGTCAGCTGAAGCTTGTGGAGAAGCGTCAAAATGTTTAGATTTCGGTTTTTTCTTCTTTCCAAATGTCTGTTTTGTCTTTCGCGATTTTCTATTTTTCTCACTTTTGTCAGGAGCTTCAGGCGAGGATCTTTTATTTCTTTTTTCATGATCTTTTTTCTTTTTTGATGCCAATATTATGTCCTGAGAGGTCGAATAAAAATTTTTGTCTTCATCGAGGGGAGAAAATTGGGGACTTTCGACTTCACCGACAACCGCCGCTTTGGCCCGGGGTCTGCTAGTCTTGCTCTTTGCAGGTCTGAACCATCGGGGTAGGGTTGAACGACCGGTAAAACGACCTTTCGGAGAGACCTCTGACGGTTGTGAATCAGCGGGGAATTCGCCGTCAATTGGACTACCCAAATTTTCAGTCGAGACTGTTCGAGTGGTCCCAGCAGTTTCGGCAACTCCGATTCCACTATCCACATCGGTGTCCGCATTACGCTTTGGAGATTTGTGACGACGAAGGCTGGGGAAACGGAGACTCCAAAATGNCGACCAGACCGTATAGGCTGTTCCGAGTCACTGAGTACCCGAACAGTTTCAGAATCACCAGCAGGAGGATGGTACTGCTGTTGTGAAATGAAATCATGATGGAACGGCTCCGAAGACATAGATGTCAGATGCGTAGAATCCGAAAACGCAAAAATACTCGAATCACGAAGGAAGAAATCTGCGACCATCGGAGCGGAAACATCTGAAGAACCATGAGTAAAAACATACCTCGCAAAAGGCGCATGAACGGCAGAACATTCAGGAGAACCGAGTAATCCAGTTGACTCAATCTCATCACAAGGAACCGCATTAGAAACCTCACCACCGAAAGAAAAAATAACAGAACCATGAGGGACGGAAGGATCAAAGGGCAAACCAAGCGAGGAAGCCGGCAAAACATCCGAAGGTTTCCCCATCGTGCCCAATTGGAAACCAAAAATCGGTGCTTTCATAGACACGTCCGCTTTCGGCAATTTCACGTCAGCTCCGACATCACCAACACCGCCAACATCTACGCCCAAATTCACATCGGGAGCGTGCAACTTTGGACCGCTTATCTCTACACCAGGCAAGTTGGCATCGATGTCTACCTTAGGCAATTCCACTCCGAATTCCGGCCCTTTCAAAGACACGTCCACTTTCGGCAATTTCACGTCAGCTCCGACATCACCAACACCGCCAACATCTACGCCCAAATTCACATCGGGAGCGTGCAACTTTGGACCGCTTATCTCTACACTAGGCAAACTGGCGTCTACGTCCAACTGCGGCATGCTCAAATCAACACCCACTGAACCTGGTGTCCCTGATAGACCCATATCACCCCCAATTGCAACAGAAGGCATCTCACCGGAAACAGAAAGATCAGGAACTTTCACATCCCCTCCAACACTGACCGAGGGAATAGCTGCACCGAGGTCTATCGTACCACCCAAATCACCGCCAGTCGACACACCCGGAATTTGGACATCAACACGTGGAACATCAACATCCGCACTGACTGATGGAAGCTTGATCGATGGGCCAGACACGTCCACAGACGCCTTGGGCAATTGCAAATCGGCATCGGCCGACAAATCGCCATGGCCAAGTTTCACTTTCGGCAAGCTGATTTTCGGAGACCATCCGAATTTGAAGCCATGACCCTTCGCTTCACCACCAGCATGCAAATCAACATCCGGAGCATGCAAGTCCGCCCCAACATCTAACCCGAGATCAGCCTTTCCAGAAACCTTGGGCTTTTTCAATTTCTTATCGCCCTTTGCCTTTCCACCAAAACCGAAGTGGAACTTCTTCGAAGGCACTGAGACATCCGCGCTAGGCAAGTCAACTCCGCCCGTCAAAGAGACATCACCACCCAAATCTGGCCTCACACCAACGGAACCGCCCGCATCCAATCCGGGCAATGACAAGCTAGCATCCGCGCCTGGAACTTGTGGTAACTCTACTCCGCCGCCGATTTCCGGACCGGACACACTCACACTAGCATCGGGCACTTTCACCTTACCCGAGACGTCCGCGTCTCCACCCAACTTAAGGCTACCTTTGGGCCATTTTAATTTGGGCAATTTCAGTTTCAACCCACCACGAGGCGCTTCGCCTTTCACACTCACACCCAAATCAGCATCACCAGTCCCTGTGGCAGAAACTCCCAAACTGGGTCCTTCCACTTTCGGTCCCTTCGCTTTCTTCCCGAATTTGAAACCGAATTTAGGCGCCTTCACAGACACGTCCGCTTTCGGCAATTTCACGTCAGCTCCGACATCACCAACACCGCCAACATCTACGCCCAAATTCACATCGGGAGCGTGCAACTTTGGACCGCTTATCTCTACGCCCGGCAAACTCGCCTCGCCAGACACTCCAGGTGTCTTTGCTTTCTTCCCGAATTTGAAACCGAATTTAGGCGCCTTCACAGACACGTCCGCTCGACTGCCGTCGCTAAGATCTACGTCAGATATCATCGAATTCTCTGTGGCCTCTGTTTTGGTTCGTTCTTCTTTTTCTGTTATATTTGGGTTTACTCCTATTTTGTGATATTGTTTTTTCTCTATTCTTATCCGTCCTCTTTCCTTCTGGTTTTTTGTTTTTAACCCCTTTTCATTTTCTTCTGTACTTATCCTGATCGTGTCTTCTGTTATTATATCTAATCGTTTCAATCTGGGAGACTTACCGTCTTTTGTTTCTGTTGTCTCCGGCTTGCCCATCTGACCGTTAGCATAGTCTTCGCCGTTTGTTATTCGGTCAAACCTGTCTGTTGCTTGCACGCAGTATGCTGGTGTGTATATTTCGCAGCTTAATGGGAGATGGATTGGTGTGTATATAGGATCCGAATAATCTGTACAGGCTTCGTCAGTTTCAAATTGTGCGTTTCTTTCGTATGCAATCTTGCCCGTTGTCTCGTGGATTGTGTTCTCTTTGAATTCCGAGTTTTCATCGCTTCTGTCCGATTCATCTTTCCGTCTTTTCGGTTTTTTGCTTCGTCGTTCCAGGTGTTCTTCTTTTACATTGTGGGGATATTCTTTTGTTGGTAACTGTTCTTGCTCGGATATAACTTTCTTTGGTAAAGTTGGTGATTGGTCTAACGGGGGGGTTTGTCTGGATTTCCATGTGCTGCTGAAGGGGTCTTCGAATTCACATTTTTCTTTTTCGCTTCCGGTCGATTCAGTGGGGGATTCTGCTACTGAAGGACAAGCTCCAGCTGATTCACTTACATCATGCTTCCCGTCCTCCTCAGTTTTGTGTCCCGTTGACTTGCGATTTTTACGTCGTCGTCCTCGTGGTTTAGACTGTGAAGTTGGTTCCATCGAAACAGGAAGACTGGAGTTTCACAACAATGCTTGATTCACAAGTAAGCACACCACCACAGTTGTTTCAAAGTGTTCAAAATGTTCAAAATGTTGCAGTTAGGTACGTGTGTACATTCACTCAAAAAACGGTAAGTTGGATTATGATTCAGTTACAACTTCACAACTGGTAAGTGCACTTGTTGTTCCCACCTTTCGTGAGCCTGCCAGTCAATAGCACAAAAATGCATTGCACGCGAAGCACAAATATCACTTAGGAGCGGAGAAGTACTGCGGTGCGCCTTGACGATCGGCTACCGTACCGATGCAAGCAGTCGTGGGGTGTTTGTTTTGGAGGGGAGGGTATGTATAAGTGCGTGTGTGCGTGTGATTAATCGATCAATATGAACGTCTGCAAACAATTGTAAAGTACAATTTTTCTGTGTATTCTCCAGCATGTAGGGTCAGGATGAGAGAAATTCATAAGGCGAAAGGCATTGTCGAAATGCAAATTGAGCCTTTCAGAAAAATGCCTTATAGGATTCGGAAACCCTACAGTCGAACCACGGAGACGTACTTGTGCAAACCTTCCTGACTGAATGGTATGGTCTCACTTGTAAATGAACTATCAGGTTTCGTTCTTTCTCGTGTCTGTACCAGTGTCTGTCTTGTATTACGTGTGCCCGTCTGTTCGTGTAACTCCGATGTACTTTCCTCACGTGTAACCTTTGTAATCAGATTGTATGCTATTCAGTATCAGAGGGTCCCCGTTTAATTCCACCTATCACAAAGGGAACCAGAATTGTGCGGAAATGCTCTCTGGCTATGGCACGTCGGTTGCATTTGTGTGGGTTGAACACGTATTGCACTAAGCGTCGTATTGGCTCACGGTAAAACACGGCGTGGCTATGGCTGTGCGCTCTCGTGTGCGTCCGTACTGCCTCCTGGTTCACGATAAGCCAACGAGGATAGCGATAAAACTGAGACCAATTGGTAAATGATAGACTCATTTCAGTGTGTCCGCCTATCAGCCAAGTGAATGCGGTTACTTTAATTGCATAGATGGGCTAACGGACGCATGCATCTAATAGGCCTCTACCCGATTTGTTTTCCGGGGACGGTGATTGGCCAATTTGAGTGCGTCGGGTAGCACTTGCGTATGACTTTTTGGTTCACAAAATAGCACACCTGCGCGCATACACGCAATCGCTTTAGTGTGCTTGCGTGTGTGTGCACGTGCGTCTGCATATGTAAACGCTAACTTAGGCCTGATTACACCTATACTGCGGCCATCGCAGACGTGGTAAGAGGGGAAATTGACAGGGGATTCAACCGGCTTGAAGATGATCCGTTTGGTGATGTTCTGCTTTGACATCCGCAGAACGGGTGTACTGCTCTGTCTCTATTTATTTGAATTCACTATGCTTCTGCATGTTTCCATCAAGAAAGCCATTTTTTTTATCACAACCTCTCCCGTGTTATTGATTTTAGGAAATTTTGTGTTAAACATATTTGAGAGGAATTAATTTAAATTTGCAAGAAATCACTAATGTTCGGTTTTGGAGAAGTTCAGTCAGTTGGAGAGTGTTAACAGTCGAACCGTAAAAATAGGTGTTATCACAGCAGAGTACCGAGCGTTAATCCTCTC